TAGGACAGTGCTTTCATTCATTAGTTCAGCCATGCCCTCATCCAACAGTTATTATCTGAACCCCTGCTGCATGCCAGGCACTGGGGGTACCATGGCACAAATGCCTTGTGGAATTTATGATCTACTGGGGGAGACAGACATCAGACAATTGCAGGATGCTTGTACTTTCTGGTAAGATCTATGAAGGACAAGAGACTAGCAGAGGGCTCAATCGGGAGAAGGACTTTGAAGGGTAAAAGGAGTCAGTCAAGAGCTGAATGGAGGAGGAGCTCTGGTGGGCAGAGGTAGTGCCAGCTATAGGCCAAGGCCAGGGTACAAAGGAGCTTGCTCAATTCCAGGAATTGCCCTTGAGGCAGAAGCAAAGCATAGGAGAGAAAAAGTTTTGGGATATAGATTGGAGATTTTACCAGGGTTGATATCTCCAAAAAATAGCTTTACAAGTTAAGAAAGTTAGCCAGGCATGATATCCCATTCCTGTAATCCCAGCACTCTGAAAGGCTGAGGCAGGAGTATTGCAGATAGGTAAGTTAATTAGATATCTTGTAGGCAGTTAGACAGGGCCAGCCCACAAGGAGCCAACATGAAGGACAGTGAAGGCACACATTCACTGAAGGCCAGTGTTGTAAAAGGAGAGAAATTACCACACCCATGGAGGATGAGTAGCAGTGATTGATATTCTAAACAGGTATCAGTCACCTGAGTCAGGGGCCAAGGTCTTAACGCACCCTCTCCAGGAAATATCCCTGACCCACTGTTACTGAAAATCCTTGTATGCTTGCTGCCTGACTTGCTCCCCCATTTGACCCCCATTTAATCAATATTACCTGGGTGACTGTACTTGTAATCTTATTGGTTGGTCATGGTTTTGCCCCACCTCATGCCTACCTTGTAAATTTCCATGGGGTCTTATAGTTTTGTCCCACTTTGTACCCACCTCACCACATGGCTTTGCTGTATAAAACATCTTTGAAAAGTGGGGTGGGGAGGCAACCCACTTTCCTGTCCCCCTTCTGTCTCTCTTAGGCAGAAGCTTTCTTCTCTCAATAAATTTTTCCTACTCTTAACCTCAGTTGTTCCTAGAATTCATTGATTTTAGAGAACACGAACTCGAGTTTCAGATATCAAATAGGTTTAGCAGTTACATCTCTTCCCCCTATATGAGGAGGACTATGAGTTTGAGCCCAGCCTGGGCAACTGGAAGATTTAGTGAGACCCTGTCTAAAAAGAAAAGAAAAAGAAAAGGACTGGGAATGTAGCTCAGTGTGAAGGCCCTGGATTCAATCCCTTGTACAAAAAAAAGAGAGACAGGGAGGGAGGGAGGAAAGAAGGAAGGAAGGAAGAAAAAGAAAGAAAGAAGGAAGGAAGGAAGGAAAAGAAAAGAAAAGAAAGAAAGTTGCCTTGAATTTGACAAATACAGCCACTGGATAACTTGGCATGAATAAATAGATCAAGCTGACTAGTCTCAGTGGGAGAATGACAAGGACAGATTTGAAGAAGGAGAAGGTGGGTTCTGGAAGGAGCCTGTAGGTAGGAGCTCCATCCCACCCAGAGAGCCAAAGCATTGGATAAACACAGGGGCGGGAAGACAGCTGGGGTGTCAGGCCACACTCAATGCCTGGGAATATTTAAGAAAATGAAATACACGAAATGCATCATTATAGCCAATCAAAGAAATAAACTGGAATCTGATAGAGGTTTCTTTGAAAATGAAATTCTAGGCATTGAGATCCCCAATATGTTCATTTAAAGGGTAGGAGAAAAATTGGAGGTAGGTGAAGGGGCAAATAATAGATTATTTCAATTCCAGGAGAGATTATGTTGAAGAAAAACCCAAAACCAGTATTTTTAATGTCAAAACAAAGAAGATCGTGGATAACAATTGGATGATAGGAATTAGTATAATTTTGGCTCCAAATGTGCCTTTTTTATAAGTATAAAGAACACCAGAAGGAGAAGGCATAAAAGGCATTTTCCTGAAAGTATATTAACATATTCTGTGAGTGTGTGTGTGTGTGTGTGTGTGTGTGCACAGTGCCATTTCCATGGCAATGGGGGGGGGGTGCCTTGCCATGAAACAGTCTTCTTAGATTCAGACACACTTATGAAGATCCACGTACAGAAAGCGGTGGGGAAGATTATTTGAAACCAAAAGAAAAATTATTCTAATCTTTTCTGAGATGAGTCAGCCCATCATCTCTGCCACACACACACACCCTGCCATGCCCATATGCTGGACCTGTCTGCTGCTTCAAACTGAGCTTCAGACATATTTTTTTCAGATAGCACCATTTCCCCAGGTTCCACCTAAGAATGGTGTCAGTCACTGCTGTTGTTTACTACATCTCTAGGGTTTTCTCGACCTCTAAGGACAGTGATCTCAGTATCATTGATCCTGAAAATAAATTCATAGGCTGTTATTAAAATGTTATGACTGAAAAAAAATGTTATGACTGATGTGTGTGTGTGTGTGTGTGTGTGTGGTAAGGGAAAGAAAACAAAGAATCTGCAGAGTTTTTAAACATGTTAGAAATTTGACAATATACCCAAGGTTCTTATAGGCCCAGTCCTTAATCTGTGATAGCTACTTGCTTTTGAGATGGTTAAGAAATAAGGAAGCTTTAGTTTTCATACCTCCAACTTAATTCTTGGACAATTCTTTCCCTTTCTTCCTTTCTCATTTTGGGGTAGAGATAGAGTTCAATAGAGTGATAAATGTCCCTTTTGCCTTCAGTGAGCAAGTAGATTTCTGAGATTCTATTCATTCAGGGGTGATATACGATTTCTGGCAGTGGATCCTTATTGAACTTTTATTATTTCTATAATTCTTATAAAAATTATAACTTTGCTTACTTATTTCATTATGTTACCTTTTAGTGGCTAGATCTTCCAAAAACAGTAATCCTGATAATTAGAATGTTTCAACTGCTTAAATTTATTTTGAAATACTTAAACATGTATTCATAGTAAACTATTATCAGATGTTTTCTTAACCACAAATCTGATGTTGGCTGCACAATTTGCACCCAGGCAAATAGGAGGATAGAGATCTTTGAAAACTCAGGACATAATCCAGTATCAGAATCCACTTTTTAAGAATGAGCTCCATTAAAGAGAAGGCTCCCTTGATAGAAGACTACTCAGCATGCAGGAGGCAGATTTCCATTCAACTGTGAACATTAACAGTGGGGTCACCTCAGTAAGGAACAGTGTCTGGCTGAATTAAAGGACTGCTACCTGTGTACACAAAGGTGAATGAGACAAATAGCAGAGTGCTGGCACATAAGGGTCCATCAGTAAATATGGTTAATGCTCATCTCCTGCCCACACACATCCACAGTAAAAGATCAAATAGTGATCCAATCAGTCTGCACAGTGAAACACTGCTGGTGCTGTACCCAGAGACCATAAAACCCACTAAGCCAAGGATGGCTGTTTCTTCGTGCCGGATAACTCATCTTCCTTTCTCAAGACAAAGGTGTTAATTCAGTTCATCTGGCCAATTTTATTTTCCAAATTAATATTTTAGAGATGGAGTCTATAAGAAAAGAGCTAATCTTTGGTTTCTCATAATCACAAGGTGTCCATAGCCTGAGGGAACAGGAATAATTAAATAATATCTGCATGATGTTGCTTCCTTTTGTCCTTTTATTTACATTTCCTATGGATTAAAATGGAGTTCAGATTGGAAAACAAAGAAGCAATGGTTTCTGAAATACAGCTATTCTGTTTATGGAGTATACTCCCTACACAGTCATGGGGGTGAAGTTGTAAGTGATGTGGCTGTGCTAGTGAGGCTTGCTTTATTTGCATGAAGGTATTGGATTTAATGTGGTGAATGTAAGACCGAGGGCCTTACCAAATGCTCCGAGGAGCTGAGTGCAACGAAGAACACCCGGGAAGGAACACACCGGACAAGTTGGAAAGTAAAACAGACCTTAGTCTGGCCAGACAGCACTCTCAAAGCAAAGTAGCTTAGAGAGGCGACTAGCCCAGAGTCCGAGGCTCTTTTTATAGGAGGGTGCAGGGGAAGTTGACAGGGGAAATTTGCAGAAGTGGAACAAAGGTTAGTGGTCAGCTGACACGTACTGATGGTCAGCAGATGTTTGTAGATTGTTCTATAGATAGCGGTGTCCGGAACATCAGTTTCGAACAAAGAGTTGAGTAATTTACGTTGGGACCTTATGGCTGATACAGATCTTATCTAGTGTCCCGGAACTAACAAGCATCTTTATCTATTTACTCACATTCAATCACAGTTGGGGCTAGGGGAGTTTTATGATTACAGAGTTATGCAGTCCCACAGTGAACAATAAAATCAAGAAACATATTGTTTTCTAACTGCCATGCTTTCTCTTGGGTCTTTCTAGGTATAGTTCAGTCCTATGCAGTTTTCCAGTATTTTCAATCACTATTCATAAGTTCCTATGTTGCATTCTTTGTGAGAACAGCTTTCTTGACACCAAGGTTCAGTTGGTTTCCCAACTGGGTAGACCTGCAAGTGGCTGTATGTTCAAAACACATGTAGCACTAACTGCTTCTTCGCCACCTCCACTACCACAGCCTGGCCTGAGGCAACGTCATCTCTTATGGGGTCAATGCAGTCGCTTCCCAACTGGCCTCTCTGCCTCCATCCTTGCCCTTTTATTGTCCATTTTCAAAACAGCAGCCAGAGTGGTTCTTTAAACACAGATGTTGGAGGCAGATATTCCTCTGCTCAGAGCCCTGCCAGGACTCTCTGTCACACCCAGAGGCAAAGGCAAAGAGTTTGGTTTCTGCTTCTGTTTTTGCAATACTGGGAATTGAACACAGGGCTTTGTGCATGCTATCCAAGTGGTCTAACCTGAGCTACATCCCCAGCCCTTTTACTTTTTTTTTTTTTTTTTTTTTTTTTGGTTCTGGAGGTGGAACTTGGGACCTTGTGCTTTTGAGGCAGGCAGCAGAACCACTGAGCTAAATCCCTGGCCCCGTTTAACATTTTTTTTTTTATAATTTTGACACAGGTTCTAAATTGCCCAGGCTGGCCTTGAAACTGCAGTCATCCTGCCTCAGCTGGATGGATAGCTGGGATTATAGGCATACACCACTACGCCCACCGAAAGTCCAAGTCTTCACAATGGCCTAGGTAGGAGGACACCCAGGACCTGGTTCCACATCACACTGTGACCTCATCTGTTGCTTTCCACTCACTGACATGGCCACCCTGCCTTCTTGATGTTCTTTGAACATGCTAGGCATTGCCTGTTCCTTCTGCCCAAAATGCTTCTTCCTGTAACAGTAGCATGGTTACTTCCTTCATGTCCTCCAACTTCTGTGTTTGAATGTTACCTCCTTAAGGAGACCTCACCTTATTTAAAAGTGTATCTTGTGCTGGGGGTGTAGCCCAGTGGTAGAACACTTGCTTAGCATTTATGAGGCCATCCCCAGCGCGCACACATACACACACACACACACACACACACACACCCCCTGTGTATCCTATCTTCCTACTTTCCCCCAGCACTCCTGGTCTCTTCACTGTGGCCCTAAGGCTTCTTTTTGTCACAGAGCATTGTCACTTTCTAATCTACCTTATCGATTCCTACCTGCCCAGTGGAAGGTAAGTACTGGAGGCAGAGAGCTTTTTCTCCCTGATGTACTCCAAGCACAAAGCAGGGTCTGGCATATAGGGGATGCCCAGAAAATACTGAAATAGTCACTGAATGAACCAGTGCATTCTCAGGGTCTAGAGCTACCACAGGCACACAGTAGGCACTTAGTGCCTGTTGTATGTCTGTCCCTGGGGGTTGAAGAGGCCCAAGTTTCAGCATAGAGAGAACCCAGGCTGCACAGCCTGGTGATTAACTGGACTGCAAGCTTTGGAGTCTTGGCTCCACTATGTCCTCCTGGTATGACTTAGGCAATTTACTTAACCTCTCTGAGCCTCAGTTTTCTGATCTGCAACTTGGAGATAATTAAACATGGTAAATTGGATAATAAGCCTGGTTATTGCTCAATAAAAGTGAGCAGTTTTGTTTGTTCATTTGTTTGGGGGCTTTTGTCGTTACTGTGTGATTTTGCTTTTTGTTTTTTGCAGTACTGGGGGTAGAACCCGGGGCCTTCCCAATGAGCTACATCTGAAGTTGTTTTATCAATTTGTTTTGAGACAGTGTCACTAAGTCACTAAGTTGCCCAGGCTGGCTTTAAACTTGCAATCTTCTTGTCTCACCCTCCCAGAGGGCTGGGATTATAGGAGCAATTATTATTCTTATGAGATCATATTCTTTTGCATCCCTTTTGAAGGAAATAATTTCCACATCCTTTTATACCCCTTGAGCTTGCTGGGAGACAAAACCATACATCATAAGAAAGACACTTTGTTAACCATACACTACTTTATGATTATGATTCTTTGGAGTCCTCCCTAATATCTAGTCCCATACTGGACTATGAAAAAGCCCTCTGAGCAATATTGTCTGAAGATGCTGGAAAGTCTCACGTTGTGGCTCTAACTAATAACTGGAGTCTCTTCCAAGACAGCCATTTCCATGACATCCTAGAGGAGGAGGAGGGCTATAGCTCTATTTCAAAGCTCCCCTCCTTTTCTTCCCTCTGTCTCCTCAGGCTGTCAGAGCTTTTGCTAAGAGGGAACACACAACCATACTGCTGCAAGTGAAATCTGCAGTCTGCACTATTGGATTGGTTTTGCACGTGGTCTGTTACTATGTTCAAAGCATTAAAGAATCTGCAAGTGGATTATCTACAGAGCTTCTCTCTTCACAGAGCTGCAGTTCGGCCTCTTCACTTTCTCTCTCTTGCTTCTCACGAAGACCCTTTGTTTGCTGCCAGCATCTGCCTACACTGGGTACTAACTTGACCTGGCATGATTCTCCCTATCCCTAGAAGAAACAGCCCACACCTACATGCCAGGATGAACTAAGATTGCTGAGCAAAGCTAGCAACCTTTCTCTGAAGTGGTGTCACATGCAGACAGAAAAATAAATGTGCTTTTTCTTCTTGGATGATAAGAAGTCATCTTTCAGACAGACTTTTGACACAGGGAGAATTGAGGTGTGATTCCCTTTGAGTATTTCTCAGCAGAGAAAACAGCACCTAATTGGACCAAGAGAGAAAGGAGCCAGCAGCTGCTCTCATGATTATTTAAACACCCAGCCACCATCAAAAGCACTTCATTGTCTCATTACAAGTGAAATCTGGTTGCCATAACACTTTCTACTGGCTTCCCCTCTATGTAAATTGGGGAGAAGAAAAAAACTCAAAAGGCACCAGAACCCATTTCGTTTCTAAATTTATTGTTTGCATATAGACATCAGCAGCCTGAAACAATCTGAGCAAAGTATGTCAAACTGACAACACTGTGTTTCCCTATTATTCTCTCTGAAAACATCATTTTTAACACATCCGCAAAGGCAAGCAGGATTCCATGGTATAGGTACTTCAGGAAGAGACAAGCAGAGTGGTAGTTAAATTGTGGGCATTGAATATTAAGGAAAATGATTTCTGGGAGAATTCAGTTTGTTTTTTTTTTATTCTTTTATTGGTACATTTTAGGTAAACAATACATTTACATATATCATTGGGTGCTTGTACCTGTTCATGATGTATCTTGGTTCTTATTTTTTTCCCCATTACCTGTGTGCCCTTCACCCCCTCCACCCTTCCCTATTTACAAAGACTTTGTTTCCATTTTTTCCTTTTCTCATAATTTTTCCTTTCCCTTCTTTCCTTTCCCCTTCCCCTCCCAGGACCCCTACACCTTTGGACATTTTCCTATTTCAAATTATCAGTTATTTGTTTTAATCATTTTAATCCTTATTTACACTTTCAGTTTCTCACACTAGAGAAACTACTCAGTATTTACACATGTGTCCTATTTATTTCACTTTAGAGGATGGCCTCAATATGCCTCCATTGAGCTATAAATGTCTCTAGTTTCTCATTCTTTATGGCTGAATAGTACTCCATTTTATTAAAAAACCACATCTTCTTCATCCAGTTTCCAGTTGATGGGCACTTGGGCTATTTCTAAGCTTTAGCTATTACAAACTGTGCCACTATATCAGTTTTTATTTTTTAAAAATGATTTTAAAAATTCATCAACTTGGAAAAATTTTGTTCTAACACCCTTTGCTGACAGTTGTTTGTGGTGGGGGATGAGTATTACATAACACTTTTTACAGCAGGTTAGTTTTCCCAACATTTCGGCCTTGTGTACCTCATGTAACACTCCCAGGCAGCCTGTGAGGGAGGCAAGGGCAGTTCTCTCCACTAGAGATGGAGCAGCTGCGTCTCAGAAAGCTGGGGACTCTGATTATTCCTCAGCATGCCCACCCTGATCGTTCACCTGATGAACCACATTCCTCCTCATCTTTCCAAGCCTGGATGAAACAGCTCCCCTTTTCTGTAGTGTTTTCTGGTCCTTTTGGTTGCTACTCCCCACAGTCTGTGATGATGTATAATGTCCTTTAGGTCACCGAAGGAGCCAAAAATAGCCCCTCTCTGTCCTGACCAAATTCTAAACTTATTTGAGAAATAAGTAAAAAAATCCAGCAGGCAGTGCCCCAAATATACCTTTTATTACTGATAATAAATAAATGAAGTTGGACGATGTAACTGAGTGGGAGGCCAAATGGCCAAGCCCTCCCTACCCACTGGTGGGCATTGTGGTTGTGCAGGCTCTCTGCAGAGCCAGAGGAGGGCAGGAGCACTGAAGGCCAGCTTCTGGCCCCGGGACACTCCTGAGAAGAAAGGCCCTGCCAAGCAGCACATAGCAGCTGTTCCCCAAGCTGGCCAAGGGTCAACTCACCCTTGAGTACAGAGGCCAGAACAGGCCAGAGTGTCCTGGAGAGGACACCTCTCCTAGAGGGCAGCAGAGAAGAGGAAGGTACCCCCTTCACAGGGACCTAACTCAGGCTCACCCTGTGGGCTCCAGCTCAGAACCCCAGATGGAGAGGCACCCATACTCCCACAGGAGCTAGCTGGGTCCCTCTGTGCCACTCTGTGCTCCGCGTGGACACTTGCTATGTGCTTTCAGTGTCTCACAACCCCCGAGTGCAGGAACCATTTCTCTAGTATCACCCAGCACAAGCCTGGCTCAAGACAGGGCCCCATCATTGCTTGTTGAATGTACCTGTAACATGGTGACCCAAGCAGGGTTACCAGAAAACAGGGCCAGAGCTCAGAACTCTTAACTCCCTGGCCTGCTGCTGTTTGTGCCCTGCACTGTGTTGTGGTCACTATGCTATGAAAACCTGCATCCCCTCTGCCCCTAACCCCACATTCCACAATGGAAAGGGGAAGATCTGTAACACTAATAATAACTAATATTCACAAGGGTTACTATCTGGTGGTCTCCCCAGTGGACATACACACATAGTTCCATGGGTAAAGAAACTCACTAAGAAGTTTAGGAGTCAGGTATGGTATCATGCGACTGTAGATCTATAATTGCAGCTACTTGGGAGCCTAAGGCAAGAGGATCACTTGAGTCCAGGAGTTCAAGGCCGGAGTGTCTCAAAAAAAGGGAATGTGGGGCTGGGGATTTAGCTCAGTGGCACCACACCTGCCTCGCAAGCACAAGGTCCTGAGTTTGATCCCTGGTATCAAAAAAATAAAAAGGGAATGTGGTGCTAGGCCAGACATGATGTCACACACATGGAATCCTAAGTATTCAAGAGGCTAAATCACTGGGTGTGGTGGTGCACGCCTGTAATCCCAGCACTCGGAGGCTGAGCCAGGAGGATCACCTTGAGTGCGAGGGCAGCCTGAGCTACACAGTGAGTTCAAAACCAGCTTGAACTACACAATGAGACCCCGTCTCAAAGTACTGAAACAAAGAAAGAAAGAAACAATCAAGAGGCTAAGTCAAGTTTGAAGCCAGCTTTGGCAACTTCAGAAGACTTGTTTTTTTTTTTTTTGAGATGGGGTCTCACTAAGTAGTCAGTGCTGACCTTAAACTCACTAGATAGCCCAGACTGGTCTCAAACTTGCGATCCTTTTGCCTCAGCCTCCTAAGTGTGGGGATTACAGGCATGCACATTTCCCTAACATAGTGAACAAATAATCATTTCAGGGTGTGTTAAGTACTGTGAAAAAAAAAGCATGCTGAGAGGTAAGTGGGTGATGACCTTGAAGGTGGGTCCCTGGAGAGCTCAAAGTCACATGGTCAATAAGTATATGAAGAGGAAATGCCATGTACTCAGAATCTAGATGGGCAAGGGGTGCACTATGCCAAGATCTGAGTAAGGCGTTTTATTTTCTTAATAAAAAACTGTTTGGTTTTTTGAGACAAGGTCTCCCTATGTAGTTTAAGCTGGCTTTGAATTCTGGCCTCCAACTCCAGAATCACTTAGACCACTCCCAGGTGACTGGGGATGGACCCTGTAGCAAAGCAGGTGCCTCCTGGTAATCTGGGATGGCCGGAGAAGGCAGAGTGCAGCCAGGGAGAAGGACCCCATCTAGTGGGCAAGGGGGGAGCAGCAGCCATAGCCGTGAGGGACCCTAAGAGAAGCAGCAGAGGAGACCAGAGGAGAGCTGTTGCGGTGTTGTGGGGTAGTTCCTTTAAAAATGGCTCACCAAACAATAGTATTCCTGGTCCTTCTTGTCTCAAACAAAGAAATGAATGAGACAAGCCAAAAATGGTGCCAAAAGTTTGCTTGAAAATGAGGCGGGAAGTGGTAAGGGAAGAACCAGCTCTTTGGAGCAAATTTGGGCCAAAGAGAGAAAAGAGAAAAAAAGAGCAAAAATAAAAGTACAACTTGGGTCTAGGGAACTCTTCCTGGAGTCTGGTCTTTGTTATGCTGTCCACATCTCCTGGGAGGTCACCAGAAGTTCTACATAAGGGGTCCTGAAAATCGCCTGGCTCCACCCTTGGATTTTGAAATTGACAGGTCCCCCCCACTTCTTCAGCCAGTTTTGTCACACCCTACCTCCTATATCAGCTATAGAGGCCCACCTGGGTGAGACCCGGTGTCTTCCAGCCCCCTAGATTTATGACCCGCAGCAAACTCTCTACCTATTCTGAATCTCGGAGGATTATATGGTGCAATACCTGGAAAATGCCTAGCACATACTAAGCCCTCCACTAGTGACAGTTCCTTCCCCAGATCTAGAGCAGGAAGGGCCTAGGCCATAACATTTTGCCCCACAATGAATGGAAGGGCTTCTGAGTTTGGGGCCTCACAATGGGCTAGAACTCTGCCTCATTCAGGGTTCTTATCCATGGGGACTCTTCTCCTGTCCCAGAGAAGGACCTGGGACATCGCACTGGAGGGAGCGTCCCCCTGGATTTTGTATTCCTTCACTGGTGTGCTTTAAACACCTAAGCTCCCATAAAACCCAGGGGCTGCCACTGGCCAGCAGTCTGTCCCTCTGCCCACCCCAAAGGCTAGCTCTGCTCCTACTCCATCATATCCAGAGTCATGCATGTGATCATGTGGTTCTTCAAATTTGTTAAACAGATTTGGCAAAAGATGACCTGTTGGGTGAGTTTCACGTACTGTCTGGTGGTCCTCATGATGCTAAGATGAGAGTCCTGATCAATGACCACCATGCTGTTCTTCCCCTCCTGGCCTCTTATGGCTGAACAAGACAGGGAAGGAAGAGGTGAGGGCATAAAATAGTCGAGGAGAGTGAGTGTGGTGGCCCAGGCCAATAAGACAACTGCAAGCCTGAACTCAACCTGGGCAGCCCAGCAACCCAGTGAGACACTGTCTGAAAATTAAAAAAATAAAAAGGGGGCTGGGGCGTGGTTCAGTGGAAGTCTTGAGTTTAATCCCCACCACTGCAAAGAAGAAAGAGAAGGAGAAGGAGAAAAAAGAAGAAAGATGAAAAAGGAGGAAGAGGAGAAGAAAGAAGAGGAGGAAGAGGAAGAAAGAAGAAGAGAAAGAAGGACAAGGGAGAAAGAATAAGAGGGAGAGGGAGAAAGAGAGAGGGGAAGAATCAGGAGGAAGAGGATGGTGGAGGGAGGGGAAGAAGAGGAAGGAGAGGGAAGAGAAGAGAGAGAAGGAGGGAGAGAGAGAGAGAGAGAGAGAGGCTGGACTGGAGAAGGCTTCAGGGAAAGCAGGCCAGGGAAGTCACTGCTACCTTCCTTTGGGATCTTTCCCTTTGACTACCACCTCTGTCTCATCCCTCTCTTTGTCTCATCCATCTGTGCCTTGTTGCTTAGGTTGTCTTCTGCAGATGCCACATAAAGCAGACCATCATGAAACACACTAGCTCTAAGAAACATGCACTGAAGGAGGTAGAGAAGACTTTCCTACAGTTAGAAGGTTGCAAGTGGGCCAAGTCCCCTGGAGAAGCCAAGTTCCTCGGGATGGAGGAGGCCCCCAAGGCGGCTGAGCCTTGTGTGCTGACCAATCCCATGAGCAGGACCCAGTCCCGTGAGCAGGACCCAGACGAGGGCCACTCCCTGCTGCAGGTACCCTGGACGGCTGTCTGGTCAGCGTCCATGATCATGTTCTCTGCCCTGCAGTCCAGCTGGCAAATGTGCCGATGGAAGGTGAGTCCCCTTCCACCTTCCACCCCAGCAGCTGTTTCTTTCTTTCTTCCACTCCCTGGTCCTGTGCTCTTTTGTCACCAGATGCTGAGGATACCGAAGAACCAGGTTTGCCCAGACTTGGCGACCACAGACAACAGGCATTGTTGGTTCTGTGTCCTGAGGAGGGTGAAGGTAGAGGGGGCTGTGGGTGACCAGGGAAAGGCATCTCAAACAGACTTGGGGAGTCCTGCTGGAAGAGGGGTGAAGCTCAGACCTAAAGAAGTCACTTGGTTTAGGGGTATTGTTAGGGGAAGTGGTGGGAAAGGAAGGGGTGTTCCAAGAAGAGAAACAAGGGGTGTGCAGAGCTGGCTCCACATGTGAGGGTTGAAGTGGAGGGGACCTGGCACCAGGGGCCAGTTGGCACCAGGTAGGATAGATGACCAAGTTACGGATTTTGAACTTGACCCTAAGAACAATGGGGAGCCGTGGAAGACATCTGAGGCAAGGAGTGACGTGAATGAATTTTCTGACATTCATACATGGTTAGTAAGAGTGAAAAATGGTGAGCCATTCTACAAAAGAGTATGCCAGCTGGCCACGGTAGCACACACCTGTAATCAAAGTACCCTGAGATGTGGAGGGAGGGGGCTCTCAAACCTGAGCCCAGCCTTAGTATCACAGCAAAAAAACCTGTCTCAAAAAATTTTTTTAAAAAGAATAGGGGTGCTGGCGGGGGGGGTAGCTCAGTGGGAGAGCATCCCAGATTCCAGCCCCTGCATCACCAAAAAAAAAAAAAAAAATTCACCTGGTCGGGGGAGGGTGGGGAGGGTGGTCAAAAGGGGACAAGGGAAGAAACCAGAAGATTCACTGGAGTCTGGTGCATTCCAGGCTAAGAGATAAGGATGCTCTGGGCTCAGGGAAGCATCACTGGGTAGAGCAAGTGAATACATTTGAGCAGTGTTTGAGGGGAGAGTTTTTGGGTCAGTTGGTGGATTGGGTGGAAGTCACAGGGAGAGGGAGAGACAGAGGTCGGCAGGTTGGAGACAGTCACTGGGCCAGAGAATGAAGGAGGAGGAACAGACTTGGGAACAAGGTGATAAGTTTAGGTCCCTGGGGAAAGATGAATTGAGGTAGAACATGTGCATGGAATTGTCCTACAGACAGTGGAATATAAGGATCTAGGGTCAGGAGAGAGCTTCAGGGTAGAGATCAAGTGTCATTTTGTCCTGCATGGTATTACCCTCTCCATGAAACCCTGGGCTGGACTCACAGGTGGGTCAAAACTGGTCCTTGTCTTCCAGGAGTTGGTTTCTAGTGGAGAAAAGTGTCGAGTCCTTGGGACAAATCTGAGTTTGTATGCAACATGGTATAGCCAGGCACACCTGGAATTCCTGCACTCAGGGAGGCTGAGACAGACAGGAGGACTGCAAGCGTGAGCCCAGCCTGGACAACCTAGGGAGAACCTATCTCAAAGTACTAAATAAATAAAAAGGGCTGGAGACTTAATCCCCAGTATTGAGAGAGAGAGAGAGAAAGACAGAGAGAGAGAGAGAGAGAGAGAGAGAGAGAGAGAGAGAGACAAAGAGAGGGGCACACTAGAGCAAACACCAGGGTAGAGAAGATGAATGTCTCATGCAGGCAGAAAAGGCTTGCTGGAGGAGAAGGTGCCTGAGGTGGCCTGAAGGAAGAGGTGGCATTAGCAGAGCCCCCTGTGGATTATCTACTGGTGGTCCCACCTGCTGTGTATATCCTCTTATTCTCTTGCAGTCATCCGTCAGCTCCGCCTCCATTTCCCCCCAAGTGAGGACCTCGTCCCCCCTGGACACACCCGAGGCTGAGCTGCTTCGAGAGGTGTACCTGGTGCTGTGGGCCATTCGGAAGCAACTTAGGCATCTGGCCCACAGGCAGGAGAGGCGCAGAAGGCACCACCACATCAGGGCCAACTCCTCTGCTTTGGCTGAACCAGTGCTGGAACTGAAGCAGGACGCTCGAAGTCCCCTCTAAAGGACCCCCAGATCCTCAGAAAGTCCCTGCCTCACCTTAGCAAAATAAAAATGATAAATGGGCTTGGGATGTAGCCCAGTGCAAAGATCTCGCCCTTGTGCTTCAAAAACTATTTACAGTGGTTTCTTGAGAAAGATCCTACAGCCAAGGCAGCCTGGCTGGAAATGCCTGGCCCAAGGAAGCCCCCACCGCCCTGCCTCTCTGACACTCTCAGATTTAGCTTCAGCCTTGGCTTTGGAGGGAGCCTTGGAGGGGCTCTCGGGCTGCAGGAGATGCAATTGCTTTCCCAGCAGGAAACTGTCCCAGCAGGGACTTTAGTCCCTCAGCCACCTTGGTTTGGTGCAGGCACTTGTTATGACCAGAGCCCGGCTGGGGAGGCCAGATGATCAGCAGGAGGCAGGGGAGTCCAGCCTGCACCAAAGGACCAAGTGCCGGCGGGAGGCCATGGTGATTTGGAGGGAGGTCAGGTGGGGCAGCAAGAGGAAAGACCCTGGAGCCACAAGATGCAAGGATTTAGACATCTTCTGTCCAAACCTGGGAAGGTGCAGAAGTGTCTCCCAAGAAAAAGCAGTGGTATTTCACCAGACAGCAAAATTTGGGGACTTGAGAGTTCACGGGGTGGGAGGTGGCAGAGGCCAAGGGGCAGCAGATTCCTAGGGAAGAGGAGGGGAGGGGAGGAGGAGAATGGAGAGGACCAAAGAGCAGGAGAGGGCAGAGAAGAGAATGGAAGGGAAGGGGAGGGAATAGGAGAGGAAGAGAGGAGAGGTGGGGTAAGAGGAAGGGAGGGCAGGGGAGGCTGCTGAGCTGGCTGGGTGGCACCCAGGCCATTACCTGTGAGCTACACAACCAGGTGCAGCAGGGAGAAGCCAGAGGGACGGCTTCCTGGAAGCCCTCAGTTCACCCCTCTGCAGCTCTGAGGCCCCATTGTGGGGATCAGGGCAGCCTTTCTGGAGCAGACACCCCCATACCTATCCCATGATGCAGCTTTGCTGTCCTGAGCCTTTATTTTCTTCAGTGCTGAAGACTGAACCCAGACTGAGTCTGCCAAGCCACCAAGGCAACCGGACTGGGCTTAAACCTGCGCCCCTCCTGCCCCAGCCCCCCAGAGTGCGGGCGTTGTAGGTGTGCACCACCCCACCTCACACCACCTTAATTTATAAAGTGTGCTTTATCACAGGTATGTGCGTATAGAGTCAAGCACAGTATATATAGGGAACTCTGTGATTTCAGGTCCTCACTGGGCTCTTGGAACTGGAAAATGTTCCCTGTAGAAAGGGGAGATTACTCCATCCTACCTCATATATGGTTCACTGTCACTGTTTTCATTTTAAATACAAATAAAAATTCTCCAAAGTTGCACACAGTTGAAGTAACTCAGTACCAATAATCACACATCTCTGTACTTCTTGTGTAAGGAGAATATTTATTTAAGCTACCCTTAATTGGTATTCTGTTACTTGCAGCTAAATAGAACCCTAATTTTTACAGAAAAAGCGCCATTTTGAGTGGCTCTACTTTCCATATATCTGAGAGTTATACTTAGTTTCTGTACATATTTTAATTGATTTTTCCTGTCTTCTCAGAATTCTGAATATAATTTAATATATTGTTATATAGTAGTATAATTTACTATATATTAGGAGACATGACACTCAAGTATCTGCCATTCTCAGCCCCTTCTGAGGATCACCAGAGTAGTTCTTTATCACAGGTTCCCATGCTTTGGGCCAGGTGACTGGGTCTCTCGCTGAAGCTAGGTTGACTCCAGCATTCAACACTTGACCCAAAGCAGCCGCCCATAGATCTACAGGCCAGTCAGAGCTGTGAGAGCTCAGCCCAGCAAGGGCACTGCACGGATACATGCTGACTGGCCCACCTGTGAGTCAGAAGCTGAGTGAGCCCAAGAGAATGCAGAAGCCGAGAGGCAAAACAAGTCATGCAGGATCCAGAAAATCTGCCTATGCAGAGGTGTAGTTTGTCCAGTGCTGAAGAGAATGGTCTGGAGAAATGGTGAAAGGAGAGAGCACTGGGGACTGGTACCTGAGGAGGTGAGCGAGGTTTCCATATAGGGTGTGTTAAAACAGAACAAGAAAGGACCACAAAGCACAACCAAGCCTGCAAAGGAGGTAGTCAGAGTAAGAAGTGGGTGATGGTGCAGGGCACAGTGCAAAAACAGACAAGTGTGTGCATGTGCAGAAGGACTGGCAGTGAAGACTTGTGAGAAATTAAGTATTCAGGGTCTTGACAGCTAGATGAATATAAAGTGGAATCCTTGCAGTAGGTAGTTCAGACCTACTAAAGGGGCTAGAGTTTTGGGTGCAGGTGCCCACCTGGGTGATGATATAAAAGCAACGTAGAGATGGAGAGGGCTGGGGTTAGCTCAGTGGTAGAACACTTGCCTGGAATGCACGGGGGCCTGGGTTGATCCTCAGCACCATACAAAGAATAAATAAATAAATAGAAGAAATCATCCTGGGGTATTTTAAGTGTTTGAGTGACCCTGGATAATTGTTCAGTTTGAAGAGCTGAAGGGAGGGAATAGTCAAAACTGATGCCAAAATTTTAAGCTCAGAGGTGTACTGGTATCTGTCACGGAGTAGAAGTCTAAGGGAGCTGGTAGGAGAAATGAAGGGGCTGTTTCCTTCTTCCTTGCTCACTTACTTATTGGGTCCTGTATGGTGGCCAGGACAGACAAACACCATGAATGCAGTGGAGGCCTGGGGGACAAGGACAGGCATCTGTCTTGCCCACATCCCTGGGGTTCTTAGCCAACTGGACAAGACAGGAACTTCCACCAGGCTTCTAATGGCTGCTGGGTCTTGCAGTGCCAGCTCTGGCTGGAATGAGACAGATGTTAGTCTCAGCTAGTCCAAGAGGATACCTCAGAAGCCCCTTACCTGACGTGCATTCCTCATTCTCTTGCTGACAAGTGGGTGCTGTCAACACACAGGCAGACAGCTGAGTTATTAAATGCAAACTGACCCATCTTGGGAAAAGAGGATGAGGGCAAACAAACCCTACCCCCATGTTCCTTGCCATGGAGCCCCTCCTTCTTCTGAGAAGCCAGAGACCACATCCTTGCTCTCTGTAATTTGAACCTAAGGTCTTGTGCTTGAAAGGAAACCATTCTACCACTGAGCTTTGTCCCAGGCCCTCAGACAACTTTAAAATACAGGACCCACAAACAGCATCAAGTTGTGAGGCCCCAGGAAAGGCAATTGTTGTGCAGCTGTTCACTCTACTGGGGTGTGAGAAGCCATATTTCCTCCGAGTACCTGCATTGGGAGTTCTGTGGCCAGGCAGTCCTGGGTAAGCTGACTCTGTCCTCAAAACACAACCAGGCACTTGAGTTTCAAACTGGCTTGGATTTTGGAGCACAGGTCAACAGTTGCCTGTAGGTTCTATATAATTTTGAATCTGGCACGAAACCCTCATTATAATCAGTTCATTTAGGGACATTTGTCTTTTCACTGCTCCCAGGCATTCTGGAAATCCTAAGTGGACCCTTATAACATGTAGCATAGTAAGCAGTTGTTCAGGGGAAAGATTGTGTGCAAGCAGAACCACATCAGGCTGGGTGTGGTGGCGCACATCTATAATCCCAGCACTTAGGAGGCTGAGGCAGGAGGATTGCTGTGAGTTTGAGGCCAGCCTGGGTTACACAGTTGGTTCGATTCTAGTCTGAATTACAAAGTGAGACCCTGTTTCAACTCCCCACCACCACTACCACTGCCCTGCCAAAAAATGCACAGAACTACATCAAACTCCCAGCTTTGCTTCTACCAGTTACCCTGACCCTGGAAAAATTAACCTATGTAATTCTCAGTTTCTTTGTCAGTAAAATGGGGATAGTAACACCTAGTCCAGAACAGTGTTGTGATAAATTAAAGAGGCTGTATTAGTTATCTATCACTGCATAACAAATTACTCCCAAAATGTAGTGGCTTAAAGAACAATCAACCTGAGCTATCTCACAGATTCTGAAGGCTGGGAATTAGCTGGGTGTTTCTGGTTCAGGATCTCAAGGGAAAGTTTGCAGATGTTTGCCAGGGCCACGGTCATGTGAAGGCTATAAGGCTGCTCACTCTGTGGCTGTGCTGGTGCAGGTTCTGGGTGGGAGACTTCTGTTTCTGTCCTTGTGGGTCTCTCACAGGATTGCTAGTGTCTCCAAGCATGGTGACTGGCCTCCCCCACAGTGGTCCACCAGAGCGTCTGAGTCAGAAGTAGCAGTGGTTGTGTGATGTGGCTTCAGAAGTCACACATCACCACTTCCACTGTATTCCGTCTGTCAGGGAGGTCCATCCTAATTTAAAATGAAAGGGGACTCTACAAGAGCACCAGCTTCTGGAAGCCAGGATCATCAGTGGCTGCGCTGGAGGCTGGCACCCACAATGGGTCACACAGCCCCTAGCTAAATGGCAGCTGTTAATAGGGTTATCATTAGAATCTACCTCTTACCATTCCTTTTCCTTCGCTCTAAAATTGCCTATCATGCTTTTCTACTCTCAGATCTAGTGGTCTCCCAGTCCGTGGTAATGACCTCACAGGGTGAATGAAGTGACTTAAGGGTGTATTTTGAGAGTGGCTTCCTCTGTGTCTTTCCCTGGGTGTGTAATGAGGATCCATCACTGCTCCTTGCTGGCTTTTCTGATGGGTTGGATGCTGCAGTTAGTGGGGCCTGCAGGACCTAAGAAATTGCTGCTGTGAGAAAGATGCTAACTTGCAGTTTGTGGCCAGCTCCACTAGGCAGAGGAGAGAATAGGTCACGCCTGTGACAACAGCAGGGACTGTGCCAGAAATGGAAATGTGCTATTAAGGAGCCCCTAACCGTGCCCTTCTCTTCTCATGCAGTGTTTGTCTGCACCGGTCCCAAGCACCTGGCTAGTTGTAAGCCATTGTCATGGTGACCTTCCCTACACTGTCGCAGCAGATGCTGCATGTTTGATGAGACTCAGGTTGGCTCATGACAGGATGGCAGAGGACATCTCAGTGGCAGAAGCCACCAGTTGTTCCTAATTTCAGTTCTCGCCTCTTCCTTCCATAGAAGGAGAATGTCTGATTATTAGCAGAGAACAAGGCATTCCAGCCTTGGCTGACAATTTACC